TAGCAACAGTTATCCCTCTGTACCACATAATTAAAATCTTAGAATTTATGAAACCTAATGAAATGGACAAACAAAACTTCACAACAATCATTGCAAAATTGGACAGCACCTTGAACCATACACATAAAGCACTCTTAATCAATTGGCAGGACAGACTAATGGACAGTAGTGCATCTTTTTCAAATTCAAGAGTCCCACCATGTTGGATAGAAACCTCATCAGAAAATACTAGCAGCTGGTCCCCTTTTATGCATAACCTTGGAAAGTGAAATAAAATCTAAAACTTAACATCAAAAGTTGATTGATTTCAACAAAAAGAAAATCATACAAGCAAATACGATTAAAAAAAAATGAAGCTACATGCTTACTATGTTAATATGACTTTGCACAAATAAATAAATAAATAAATAATTTCTCAAAAGAAAAAGTTTTCAGCTATAATTGAGAAACAGAGTCCAATTAAGACACAATCTAGTGCAAATAAGAGATACCATATTGGTCGGCTTCCTTCAATTTCCCCTTAATCTGCCCTGAAAGCTCTAGTATTTCTGGTGTCTGTAGCATCAACAGAAAAAATAAATCATTTAAGTTCCAAGTAGGGGAAAGGTCAGCCAGATCAAATTACAAAAAATGAACCAGAAACTTATACAAAACCTGAGTAACTTCAGTGACAGTTATAGCAATAGCAGCCTTGCATCCTCATCCTCAAGGCGCTTGAGAGCTCTACCAATTTTCCTATCACAGTCAACAATGTGCCTGTCAATAGCATCTTCCAATTCTCTGTCATAGTTACCGTTGCCTTTTGCCTTAGCCTCTTCATATCTAAGAAGGGTTAAGAAAACATAAGGGGAAAAATAGAAACCACTAAAAGGTGGATACCATTAGCAGAGGCATTACTTTTTAAATCAACAATAAACTACCTACAACTAAAAAGGAACAACACTAATCTCTTTTTTTTTTTTTTTTCATTGGGGGGGAAGGGTGTCAAATAAGACCCAACACTAACTTCATTACCACTTAGCACTAATGTGGTTAATTAAAAAACATGCTTTGTCCATCATGGATGTGGTCAATCCTACATCCCTCTCTACCATTTACAATGCCCAAATCTTTTCATTCAAGTAATTGCATTTGTCATCATTAGAGGCAATTAAATCAAAGGCATTAGCAAATAACCTTGTAAACCCCATTGGTGTTAAGTGTCAAAAATAAAACCATGCGTCTACAATTTGACACAAAAAGCACAAGGTTCAAAATACACTCTACAAATCCAATGATCAAAACCAAGACCCAGAAATGTAAGAGGTTGCATGGTGCAAACATTACATAAAGCATAGCACCATAAATCATATACAACAACACAAGTTATAAGGATACTCTCTCCTCAGCTGCAACAAGTGGACCTTTGGACATGGACCCATATCCATTTTCTGAACAAGAGAAAGAAAACAAGAAGTTTGGAATCCAAAATTCTAAAGTCACAATTACTTACAAAGAAAACTATCCGCAAGTATCTGCAACTGAAACATGACTTAAAAATGAAGTTGAACAAACATAGACAAGATCACCACATAAAACAACTCTACCTATAAGTATTACATGACCATACAGTATCTACGTAACAATTGCAGACTCACTCAATACTTTCCTCAACTCATAAAACAATACATGTTATCATAGCACTTGACAATAAAATAGAATTGGAAAAAATTAATTAATTAAAATTATAGAGAAACTAATAGTGCAACGAACAATACCTAGTTTATTTGTCCTCCATCTCACATACCCATGATAAATAGAATATTTAAATCTGTCACACCTTTTTCTTTCCAACACCTCACAGGTAACCAAAATAATCAAATGAAAATTATCAGCAACAGCATACCTACCATTTGAATTTAGTTCTCTTCCAAGTTAACAACCAATGATAAATAGAAAACTTTGACCAAAGTAAGCTGTTAAACTGCCCTCTCTTATTTCCACAGAGGGCTGAAATTCCCCCAATGATCTTCTTGAGGAGAGATGAAGAACCCACCACAGCACCGCCCCCCAATCTATAACCCATATTCCAATTCTTACACCTCCTAGGCTACCAAACTAACCAAAAAATGCCAATAACAAGTTAAAAACATACTTATCACTTCCATGCATGCATCCTTCTTCCCTCTGTTGTCTCCAGCTATGTACAAAACAATTACAACCTCAAATACTCAAATCTACACCCTCCATTGGTTCAGACAGACTACAACCTCCCATCCACCAAACCAATCAATGAAGTCTCCAACTCTGCACGCTATCCCCAATTTAATTCCATGTACACTTTCTAAACTCCTCCCTAGTTGGCAGAATTTTCCATATATATACCCTTCTTTTCTCTTGTTTCTTCTTTATATTTCATTATTATAAACCACTTTCAAAATGCTTCTAGTATTAGTCTTACTAAATACATGTAATTCACCCTTAGCTCTGATTCCTTGCCACATTCGTCTCTCCCTCAAAGAATCACATTTTTAACAAATAAAAACAAACGACGTCACTTGCATTGCATCCATCAGTTATTTATTGGTTTTTATAACAGAAACAAAGATTTAAAAAGAAAACAAATATAAAATAAACCTAGCCATTTGGTTTCCAAAATTAGGAGTTACAACAACTTAACTCTGGCTACATTCTAAAAACCAGATGGTGTATATCTGTCACTTTCCCTTCTAGGCTTCTACCTTGCCCCCATCCATCCCAAAAACTTCTACTGCTTCTAAAACCTCAAATTTACCAAACACAGTCAATCACTTCAAAAACATAAAGTAGGGTTCAAAGGGAAAGAAAATGGATATCAACCATTAACAATTAATTATCGAAACATAAAGAAAAGAGAAACGGATTAACGAATCAATGAGGAGAATACCGTTAATTGGAAGAGCTCGTGAGGGCAAAGGCCGGACAAGTAGAGGCGGCAGACATCGCAGTCGTAGTACTTCCGATTCACCTCCCTTACGTTGCCATTGCGGTTCGCGCCCATCAGCACATCGAGCTGCTTCCGCATGACATCCATCTTTTTTCTCTTACCCTCTTTCTCTGTCAAAGGAAATAACCACTCTGCCTCTATTTAGCCTATTTGGATACAAATTAGCAAAGGAAAGGAAAGGGGGAGAAGTGAAGTGAAGGAGAAAGATGATATTAGTTTTGTTTGTATAAATGAAAGGTAAGGGGAGAAAATGATAATATTTCTATTAAATTAAATAATTTAATAAAAAATAAAATAAAAAAGAATAAAATTTTTAAAATTTATTAATTAAATAAATAATTAAAATAAAATATTTACATATATTTATTTTATAAAAAATTTAAAACAAAAATAAATTAAATAATAAAATCTTTTCCAATCATTTTAAATCAAAATGAAGGGACGGCTCTGTCTCCTTTCATCTTTCTCACTTCATTAAAATTTTTTATCCAAACAAAAAGAGAGGATTTCACCCCCTTACTCTCTCCTCCTTCTCCTCCAACTTCCTTGATCCAAATAAAGTGTTAGGATGTTTGCTTGACCGATGTTTGTTTGGATGTTTGTTTGGAATGAGAGAGTTGAGGGGAAAGGGAAGTAGAGTGCAAGAGAGGTCTTTTTTTTAGATAAAGTAAATTATGTAGGAGGGAGATGAAGAGGAGGCTAATTTGAGAGATTTGCAGGGATTTAATTTTATTTAATTTTATTTTGTTATTTTTTTTAAATACAACTAAAATTTAT